CGCGTTTTGCGGAGCAATTGACGGCGGAGCAATTGTCGGCGGAGCAATTGTCGGCGGAGCAATTGTCGGCGGAGCATCTGTCGGCGGAGCAATTGTCGGCGGAGCAACTGTCGGCGGAGCAACTGCCGGCGGAGCAACTGTCGGCGGAGCATTTGACGTCGGAGCAAATGTCGCGGAGCAAATGTCGCGGAGCAATTGTCGCGTTTTGCGGAGTAAATGTCGGCGGAGCAATCGTCGGCGGAGCATGTGTCGGGTTACCGGCTTATTGACCTCGAACTTTGGCCCAATTTCAACGATACATCTTTACTGTCGTCACCCATAAACATGGCCGGGAAAAACAATAGAATTAAAACTACTTGCCAACCAAAAAGATCATTAATCACCCGCTAAAATGAAAACAATACGAATAGACTTTGAAAGTGAAACCTGCAATGAAACTCAATTTGTATTGATATCACTTTTAAAGCTCATCAAGCAGTTTGTCGGGAAAGAGGTGGCGTCTCCCCCTCCCCCCCCCCCCAAAAAAAAAGAAAGAAGTTGCGATGAAGAAAAGAGAGAGGGGTTTCGAAAGGGAACGCAAACAGGGACTATTCGCCCCCTACTGCACTTATTTTTCATTTCATTTTTATTTTCGTCAATGCATACGAAATGTGTCTCTTCACTGATGCCCCTTTTACTTTCGAACGCACACGCTACGCCCCTTTCTCCGATGCATTCTCCGTTTATATCAACATCTATCAGAAGGGAAGAGAGAAGACTTCAAGATGACGCACTGTTGTCGAGTTCCATGGACCTGTGTTTTCATATTCTCATGTAAGTACTTTATAAGTTGTGTTATTCCAGTAACGTGTGTAACTTTTCCTTTACCTTGTTAGATAACTTTCTGAACATTTACTACAAAGTTCCAAATCATGTTGCCCATTCCCCTCTTCCCCTCGTTAATGTGAAACTATCGACATCGGCAGTACAGCTGCTCCAAATTTCTCTGATATTACCTCAGTGGCATGTTTGTAAATAATAATGTATAAGATGCACGCATAATTCTATGCATCTACATTGGTGTTTAATTCGCGAAGTCTCTTTTCTCCACTTTCTAATTTTCATTTTCTTTCTATATAACCCAGTGGTATTTGGGACAGAGTCTCGCAATATCACTGCAATAGCAGGCAACCGAACTGAGCTGACTTGCAACATTACTCTCCACCAGAGCTCAATCGTGTCCTTGGCCTGGACTTTCCAGTCCCAAACTCTCCTGGTTCACGTGTGCGAAGGTCGGTGTGCTAACGTTTCCTCCGGGCAATTTGAATCACACATCGACAAGGAAACTGGTTTCGGTAAGGTTTATCTGCCCTCCGAATTTGAATTATTTATTATTAAATTATTATTACTTCCTAAAGCGACTCGGTAACATTGTTGAATGTTGATGAACAAATACAATTTGTTTGTATATTTGTTACTTTTACTGTACTTACCCTCTAGAATTAAAGAAATCCTGACATAAATTCAAACCACAAAGATATTCATAGTTTATTTGAAGGCGTCACGGTGCGACACCCTCTAACAGACAAAACTCCCAAACATTTTCTTCCCCAACTAAGACAGCCTTTCAAAAAATTTTCAACACTTAAATGTGTGGAATGGTATATAGAGCCAATTCATTGCTTAACCTACAATTTAATCAAATGTAAATAATATAGTTGGTGGAATGAAGGAATCGATCAGATCAGTTTTTCCCAATTGTTATCTTTAATACTGGTCTGTTTCCACTCGATCTTTCAAATAATTTGTAATTGTACATCTAGCATTAAAGTCATTACCTTAGCACCCTTTCCTCTCATCTGAATAATGTTACCAAGTCCCTCCGAAGGTATTTGTGATTTAAGAACATATACATAAAACGAATATATTTTGTAAGAAAAGATGAGCAATTATATCCATCTTCTTATTCCGTTGTAATAATAAGGACGATGTCATCACAGCAAAATAAACAAAAGAAAAAACGAAAGAACAAACAAGAACAACAAAGCTAACGACCATAATCACTTGTCCTCATGCAGTAATTGTATGACGTCTAGCTCAAATACTAGGGTTAACGCTAGCAAAGAAATAGTGCTTTCTATCTATGGAAATAGGTATACTAATATCAGATATACAGTAGGCTTGCGGGTGTACCATGTGTGAGAGAGAGGGGATCGGTAATATTTCTTGGGGGTGTGTAGTCCTGAAAAAGAAAGATACCGAGTCAGAGTCCTTTTCAGGACTCCTCAATCCCCCTCTCTCACATTGTGCACCCGCAAGCCTGCTATATATCTACATCACTATGCAAGCCGACACTTACAAGCAGCATCTAATATCAGGTATGTGTTAAGGTTAATTAGGAAGGGTATGCTATAGTCTGTTATGGCTGGAGATGTTGCGAGAAACGAAGATAAAAACAAACAAAGACCAGACATAGCATCGGTAAGGTTTTTTTTCACGAAAATTTGCTCTGAAATACCATTTTTTTCCTTCTTCATATTGGAACTTAAAAGTATTTGTGTTCATCTGTATAAATTCCGAACAAGAAATCTGCAATACTGATCTTGCATTATAGGCTAACATTACAACTCACACATTTTAACTAGTATATTAAATATAAGACCAACCAACCATTGTGTGGGCAAGATACGTAAAGTTCGTATTTTATATACATTTTTGAAAACAAAGAAAAGATAAGTTAAACAAAATATTTCATTTGGCATTTATTACCAAATTTTAGTTGTTATAACCCATATATCAGTCTCAGGATTTGTTTCGGTATCACAGTTGACGGGTATGGTTATCATACTTTTGTTTAACGTCAACAATGTGGAAGACAAACTGCAGGATCACAAAATATCCCATGGTAATTGGAGAATTATCCCAGTCATACACAAAATCATAAAAGTGAGTATTTGGTTTAAACCTAAACTAACTGATGAACTTCCTGCCTAGTGTACTGTTTATTGTGCAGCGCCATCATATGGTATATTCTCAAACAGTGCGTTACTTAACTTAACCAATGTTTCTGGTATAGTGTGACTTTAAGGTCCACTGTACTACTTGTAGCTACTTGGTCTATACAGAAAACAATGCCCTATCGGTGATCATTGTTCCCCCATGATCCTCGTTTTCGTATGTTAATTGATAGCTGAATCGATGAGATAGCCACCTGTCATTGAGTGCCTAAAGTCAAACTAGTACAGCAAACAACGTTTTGGTATTGCGTTCATGTGTAATTACTTACCTCGTTACGAAACCAACTTATCGATTTTTGCTACTTCCCTCGATACTGAAATTAATGCACATCGTGTCCCAGAAAAAAGACCAAACCCGAAACAAAGAGTACAAACAAAAAAAAGTATGAACTGTGTAATATAATTTGTTGTTTTTCATGAAGTAGAAAGAGATTATACGTTAAAATTATACATTGATTACATTAATCCATATTCATATCAAGTTGAGCAACATATATATATATGCATTGTAAATGCCACATCAAAATCCATTCTGGCTAGATTCTGGCAAAACCCTGACAATATTAGGATCACACGTTGTGATGGCCGAACATGACCTGAAGGGTAAACAAAAATTGAATATTGATTTGTTGCATTTTATTTAATAATTATGGCAGGAGTATTGATATAATTATCATAACATAATCGATGGTGCAAACATTTTCGATGATGAAGGTAACAAAGGTCATATTTTGCACACAGACGATTTTGAACCAGTATGCGCAGTTATATATTTGTCTATTGTAAAGAGCAAAGCGATCAGCCTTGTGATAATAAACTCAAGAAACAAATCAATCGGAAAGGTATGGCCTAATGGGCAAAAAAGCAGATCATACAAATCAGAATGCCATTTTACCACCCGGGAAGGGCAATTTTTAATCGCTTGATAACAAAAAACGCTTTCGTATTCTGTATTAGTTGGTGGTTATTTTACCTAACTGCTAAGAAAGCATAAATGCTTGTTAGTAAGCAACCAGACGGCCAACGGCTTTAGGTCCTCTCCGATTAATGCCTTACCAAAGGGCACTAGCGCATCGACTTGGTTTCGAACCCGGGTCACCGGATTACGAGACCACTGCTTCACCGACTGAGCTATCGCGCCTCCTCGTTGTTGTTTTCATAACTGTGATTGTAGGGGGACTTTTCGCTGTGTTTTATTGTAAGCCATTGACCTTTCAAGGCGATTTTCTAGGCACAATTTTAGTACATGTTATATCTTTGTATCTCATGAAATTAATAAATTGAAATGAATTGAATTGATTTTTCTTCTTTTCAAAGGTACATTAACTATTCAACATGCAGAGCCATCACAAGAAGGCATTTATCGTTGTATATTATCGGGCGAATCTTCTGTTTTGACACAGGATATCACCTTAGTTATGCAGGGTAAATAATAATCATATATATTTCTTTTTATTCAATGGTATTTTATGGCATCACAATACATGAACTAACAATCATGAATTATAAATATACCATCTTGAATGACTTTGCGATGTATGATAATGTCCTTCTGTCAATGCCGTTAATATTATGAATAATGCGTTGGTAAATGGTATATTCAATTGTAATTAATGGATGGTTTACTGATAAAAAACAAACATCGTTGCGAAAAGACGAATTGTGATGATTTTACAAGGGTTAAAGTGCATTTTCTTCTTGCATGCCTTATTTAGTACAAGCACGACAACATGTTTTCAAAAAAATGCCAGCTACGGCTTTTGAAATAAAGTCCGATTATAAACAGTGGATTCCGAATTGCATATATAACATGTTGTTAGGTAGGAAAATCCATATTGTGTGTCCTACCTACCCAATAACTAATGCATGCAACTTGATTTTTTTTTTCTTCTTTTGAGTAACTTTATTTTAGATACAGCTAAAAACTGTAATTCGTATCGAGGTGCTTTGTAAGGGCATATTGGGTTATATTACAAAACGGGTATATTGCACCTGGTAACCTGAATGAATTATAACTTGACAGTTCCACCTCGGGGTTTGTTCATCCACGACCTATCTCAACGGTTTCGCCTGGAGGACGGGTCAACCCTGACGACACAAGACAAAGAACGAGTTCGGTTGAGTTGCTCTCTGGCGAACCCAACAAAACCTCAGTCTAACCTTCACTGGCAGACCAACGGCAAAGAGGGCGTACTTCACGAACAAGTCACTGCGCGAGAAGAGGGCCTTTATATGAGTCACGTCCAGCTTGATTTGGTGATTCGGCGTTCTGACCATGAGAAAGAGATAGTTTGCAGCGCCTCCCAGGAAGGTTATCCGCTTCTTACCAGGACAGGTCTCATCATTGATGTTCAAGGTGTGTATATTGTTATCTTTTTTGTTTTCTTCTAAATAAATTCACATACTTTATTAATTGAAAATAACAAGAGAAAGAATTAAAGAGGAAAATAAAACCTAGACTACTGTTTCAATACCCCATTGTAATTATTATTTTTTTTTTAGATCTGGGTTCTGTTTCATAACATAAACTTGTGGCCGAAAACAAATGATGAAATTGTATAACAAATTGCTCTTAGGCAATCAAAATGTCATGATTTAAGTAATATAAAACAGTGATTTTAAACTTGTTATAGATACAAAGTTATATGAAAAAATGTCTACTTTTTGATTGTTTCAAACGTCTTTGTAATATTTTCACATTTCACCAGACAAAGTCCTCCGATTAATTTCTTAAAAATCTAGGAAATTGTGTAAAGTAAACGGACGATCACTCTGCTTCATCCGTCTTCCGTTCGTGTTTATACAAAAAACGTTTGATAATTTGAAATATTAAAGTTTACCTAACATATTCAAATTCATGAACTTAGTGACGAGGTGTGCCATTCAAGTTAACTGCAATACTTTAAATCTATTCTGCAACCATTATTTGAAGCTATGTTGGACAATTCTTCATGTTGTGTAGAAAAACGTTTGTTGCCATGAAATTCGAATATGTTTGTAACGCGGGAAGGTGTTTCACACAGATCCTAAGTCGAACTTAACTCTAAGTTTGATTTAAAAATTATGGAGAGCCATTTGTATTCTTCAAATAAAATATATTCGAAAGCCAAAATTCAATTTTAGAATTTCCATAAATGCCACATGAAGAACACGATATCTCCTTGACAATAGAAAATATGATTGATTTGAATCAACATGTTATGCCTTTAAAAAGAACTTACACAAAATATTTTCAAAGATGCTAACGGCTTTCCATAATTGTTAAGTCCAAATTAGAGATACGTTCAACTTGGGATCTCTATGAAACCCCCATGTACATTTGGACTCGGTAAGCTTGGTTCAGTAGTACGTTATAACAGTTATGCTTTATTACAGAGTGCAACCTGGGTTTGCTACCACCAACCTGCCCAGGCAATGTTACGTTGAATCAGGTGACCACCGTCACGTGCCCTCTGACTATAGAGAATCGATTACTCGCTGAAAGTATGGCCGACATTACACCGACATTCAACGGATCCCATTTTGGTGTTTCGCTGAGACCACACTCCGAATCACAAGGGTACATTTTGCATGTAGACGTCATGGCTCAGCAAAAAACCGACTCGGACGCAACTGCACGCTTGGAGTTTCTATGCTGTGAGAACCCTATGTCATCCTGTCCCGATAGCACTTGCTCAGAATTGTGTCGGTCTACTATTTTGTGTAAGTAAATGTGCCCCATCTACCTCCCCTTTTTCTTCAATATAACATATTGTGGAAACAATGAAAAACAAATGAAGATTCAAGAATAATGCATGAATAAAGGGCATATCACCTCCATAATCGATGAATTCCAAAGAGTAATAAAGATGAATAAGGCTATGAGGTACAGTCACTGAAGGTCAATGTATGATTATGTTTTTTTTTAACAGATAACCCTACGAATGTTGAGATATATCGCCATACTAAGGGCGCCCTCACAGAGCACGCCATCAACATTTCTATCCCATGTCGCGCCGATGGATACCCGCCACCCAGTGTCTATTGGGCAAAAGATGACGCCACCACTTCTCCTGGGGGAGGTATTGAGACCTTTGAATCTACCCCAGGGAAGGGGTCATCAACTCTCTTCTTTCGGAAACTCAATCGCGACCATTCTGGAATCTACAGCTGTTATGCAGATAACGGGATTCCTCCTAGTGCAAAGGCGCTTACTGAGATCATTGTGAATCGTAAGTTTGTATTCACCAAATTTATACGGTGACATGTTACTTTAATAATTTATTATTTAATGCATGTAAAATCATCGAGTAGGTCTGAATTTTACATACAAATTAATGCAGTTGATTGTCATGATCGGAAACTGTACTTGCTTTATATTGTTTGTTTTTTTATTTTTTTGTTTCTGTTCCTTATTTTTTTTCCCTCCACAGGGATTTTATTGATTTCATTTGAAACAAATTAACAAATTAACAAATTAACAATATAAACTGCTTTATATTGCTTATACTACTGATAATTATAATAATACCATTGATAATAATAACATTAAACATGATTTTTTTTGTACAGCACTCATGTCTGTCAGACTGGACACTCTTGGTGTTCCACATGACTACTATAACGGTGCTCTACCTATCAATGATTTAATTCCTGCCAGGTACCCATCAACCTGACCTGGAGAGTTGTCCTCGTGGGGTAATTTTCCGGGGTAATTGTAATTGGGTGGTAATTTTCCTCTGGGGTATTTTTTAACGGGTGTAATTGTCCTTCGGGGTAGTTTTCCTGCCCTGGGAGTAATTTTCCTGATACGGCTTAAAACATGTAATTGTAACTCGTTATCAATAACACGTAATGTGAAACAGGGCCCAGGTTTGGCTTTGACACTGACCAGTTTTGTATTTGCACTGCCATTGACAAAGTCATATTTTGAGTATGCATCATTTTGGAGATTGTTATTCACACAAAAACTGTACTTCCATAACAGACGCCCCCGAAATCGCCAGGAGCAACGCCAATGTCAACTATAACGAGGGCGAAACAGCTCATCTTGTCTGTGACGTCATTGCAAACCCAGAACCAACCCGCCTAGAATGGATGGACCCTAGTGGACACGTCATCGAAGAAACCGAAACGGTCATCTCCTCTCCCCCTCCGTTTCGTAAGGTGATCGAGTTCTCTGCTCATGTAGAAGTGGGACAGGATACTGTGTTCGGGAACTATTCTTGTTTCGCTGCCAACGACTATGGAAACGACAGCCATGTTGTCTTGTTGTCTGGACAGAGTAAGTGTCGTTTCGCTCAAGCAGTTTGACGTTACTCACATGTCGCTTACTGCCTGGACGTGTCGCGCGCCTAATCGGATGGGTACCTTGCAGGAATTAATTCCTTGAAATGCTAAAGCACTGTAATGGCACCTAGGCTAAAGCCGGGGTAATAATAAATGCGCCTCGGAATAGAATTCAAGACAGATGGCGCTATATAAATGCCTATTAGTATTATCATTATCAAAATAGCACACCCTCAGCACTAAAAAGGAGACAGTCCTTTCATTTTTTTTTCTACTTGCATTTTCGAGGATCGTGCAATTAGTGCAGAATGTGTCACAACTCATTCGGACCGATTGTATTCAACTTAATTCTACTTTTTAATTTCCTTGGCTTCAGTATAAAAGGAAACATAAAACCAACAAAAACAATAATAGTATGATGTTGTTACACTAAACCAAATTTCATTGATAAAGCACATGTAAATCCGTATTTTCTCATCCTAATTTATTCGAATTAGAATTCCCTGGTTCCCCAACACATCTAAAGGTGGTCGTCATTTCGGCAACTTCGCTCAAACTATCATGGGCACATGGACTGGAGGACAAAACCTCTGTTACCTTTAACGTGAAATACTGCAGGAACAACTCTCGAAGTACATGTACTGTAGTGGACGATCTCCAAAGCCAGACGTTACTGATGCCTGGTTTGTCAATCTACACTTGGTACTGGGTAGCTGTATGTGCGGAAAATGCGTTTGGACAGAGCAGAAAGTGCGGAGAAATTGTGACGTCAACACCACGTACGTTTTACCATCTTGTGTTTAATTACTTTGATACAAATGGTATGTTTGTTAATATTTAGGTTCGGTTTTAAGTCATTAACCATTTTAGACACGAAATAATGGTCAACTGTTATACCTCGTGTTCGAAACAATACAGATCCTAACCAAAGTTAAAAGGGGTGGGTCGTCAGTTTTCATGTGCGCAAAACCATATTTCGTCGTCACCAAACTTGGTGAAAACCAATATTGTGTGCACACGTTTGCACAGAGTGAACCCGCAGCCTTTTTGCAAAACACCCATAGTCCCTCGGATAGTAATCGTGTAAAACAAAGTGCAAGGCATTACATAAGGCCTGGTTGTTATAACACCAAAAGCTAATCATTGGGATTGACAACATCTGCTTTGGGGTAAAACAAAAAATGAACGGTGTCTAACAATTGCCCATTGGAGCCAACACCTATGTGTGTTTAAGTTGTGTACACAAGTAGGAAACCAGTCGTCGTGTTACTTCACAATAGTTCAGTTTTGTTTTCATTCCTAATGCATCCCATCCACCTGTCATGTCCCTTATAAGCCAAAGATTATTCAAAGTTATTGGATACCAAATCGATATACATTTTATTGTCTTTCCAACAGCCTTACCTCCAAGTCTTTTGGGTAAGTTTCACTTGTATTTTACCTTATTTTGGTCACGTGTTTATGAGTGGGAATATAAACACTCTATCCGCTAAAAAATGAAATTCTAGGCTGCCAAATTGTTTGCACAAATATATGGCATTCACATAGCATGTATGAGATTTCCATCCATTTGTTGACCAACCCCAACAAATTAAAACATAAATAAACAAACAAAGAGAAATCACAAGTACAATAAATTATGGATAACTTTAATATTATCAGTGCGAATTTCTTCAAGGAGAACATTTGTTTCCCGTTACTTTAAAACTACTGGCAAATTAATAATATATTCACAGATGTCATGTTAGTATACAGAATACGTGGCACTTGAAAGAGATGTGGTGCCCCCTATGTAAAACTGAGATTACATATCTACAGAACGACAAACATATCGACAACATCATGTGTGTTTATACAGGAGTGGAAGCAAGGTATCACGCATTGACAAAGCGGCTTACAATAAGAAGAACCGAAGCCGATAATCAACCGATTCCACCCGACGTTTGCTTTCACATTCAAATTTCGATAGCCGGTGTGAACCACATAAATAACTCTTGCCTGTCACCGACCAGCAGCCTTACAACGAAGAATCACCTGTTGGATGATCAGATACGGCTCGTGTCATGCGGGCATGGTGTTTGCAGCGATCCATCACCTGTCCAGTTCGTTCGTGATCCCGAAGGTACAAGTGGATCGCTCGTTTATTCATTTTTTTGATATCATAACTATTTATAATTTGTACAATCCGTTACAAGTGTGATCGATATGCTCTGCTCATTATATCCGCTTTTGTGCAGTGAACATATCAATTATGCATATCATTCAATTAATCTCTCAAGGAAAAATTATGAATCCAGTCTATTTTGTATATGTTTTACCCAGGATATTACAACAGAGAGAGTACTAGCTTGAAAGCCCGAAATGGAATCATTCCTTCCAAATAGGAATGGTTGACAGCTATGAAGATGTCAGTCTACTAGATATTTTGAAATAAAGGTTAATTGCCATTTATTAAGATTTTGGTACGATAAAAGTAATCCCTAGCTCAACAACGATTTCGATTATCGTGCAGGCTTGGAAATACGATGGGAACAATTGTTTAAGGATTTATCGTTATAGTTATTGCTGTCGGGCTTACTTCGAATCATCGGATCATTGCGTCTGGTCTGGCGGTCGCGTTACGCGACCTTTCGTGAAACATAATCACAAATTGTCGGGTAATTTAACCAAACCATTTGAGGAAGAGAGGGTTTTATTTCACAAACGTTACCCCCGACACTACGTTTTAAAAAAAGAACAATTTTCACCAAAAATACAAATAAAAAATCGGTTAACGCGACGAAATGACCCGATGATTCTAAGTGAGTCTCACTGTCATTTGCAATAAGGCCTGACAAGCCCCTTAGTATATTATTTTTCTTTTCGCTTAACAAATGCTAAGTGCCTCTTTGACCTGTATCCTAGGTCCGCCCGACGCACCTTCTAGTTTAGAAGTTAAAGATTACTCCGAAATGTCACTCACCATTGCCTGGTTATACAATGAAGACGGATTACACAGAAGCGATACACATTCGGAAGCCCTCGACACTGTATTCCTTGTGACGTGTTGCCGGAATGCCACTCCCACTATTTGCACCACCTTCTTCAATGTCAAGGAAACCGTGTTGGAGATTGCCGATCTGTATTCGAACACGTGGTACCTAATTCACGTTTCTGCCCGAAACCAGTTCGGCAAAAGTCGTGCCTCCCATATGTTAACTTCAACTGCACGTAAGTTTACTGATGTCACCTCTCTCAAAATACATCATCTTCAGTGAGAGACAATTAATAAGATTAAAATACATAGTTACAGTGATAAATATGGTACACTGTTGTCGTCAATTACAAGGTTTAGCCTTCACTATGTACTGCTCTGTCTTTTTCGCATAGGGCCAATTCCTCAACTGACATTTGCATCACCCGAAGACTCTACGAGTGACGAGGGAATATTGCTGTGTGCAGACTTGTACACCAATTAACGGTATTTCCACCAAATCTGGTGTCAGCGAATTATGACCTTCTAAACAAGGAAACTGACTACCCACCCACTTTATATAACGGGCATGTCCGATTTACTTTTCATTAACTGACATACATTTTTCGGTCTTTTTTCAGCGCAATCACCGGAAGCACTTGGTGAGTTTACATTTGCTAAATGTTACAATTTGAATATGTTAATGATTGTGTTCATCGCTTGTCTGCGTGATCAACATTCCGCATTGCTGCAATGTGATCATTTGCTCCATAAGGGGGCTCCAGGCTCAGAATCTTCTTATCATTAGCCTTTTTACTCCAACATAATGGCCCGAATTCACAAAGCAAGGTTTGAGCTCAGACCAAGGTTTGAGGTCAAACCTCCTTTTGTTTCGCCAAACCTCCTTTTGTTATTTACAAACCAGGTTTGTAAATAACAAAAGGAGGTTTGGCGAAACAAAAGGAGGTTTGAGCTCAAACCTTGGTCTGAGCTCAAACCTTGCTTTGTGAATTCGGGCCAATGCGACTGGCCAGGTGAGAATCGTTCACGGTAAGTAAAGACATCGTAGTTTAGTGGGTCATATACTTGAGTCTCAATCAAAGGCTTGAGAGTTCAAATCTAGACAAACCATACATAACCAGTTGAAACATGTTTGCAACGCCAGACGGGCGGAACGGAAAAGTATCACACAAGGGAAATCAAGTCTTCTCAGACACCATTTTGAAAATATACAGCAATACATACCAAACATGTACAATTTCAACAACAGTTACAAATCATGGCATTTGGTTGATACGAGCTCTTGGCAAATCCATGAACAAACAAAAACTAAATTATTGGGGGAATAATAATTATTATTATAGTTAGTATCATTACCACCAACATCATTAATATATCTTGCAGGTGTTACTGCGTCATTTAACACGAGGAATACAACATTAACGATCCATCAACATTCGCCTCACGGGTTCCTACCGTCTGACTTATGCATCCGCTTGGAAATTCGAAGCAACGAGTTTATCCATCAGAATTTGACATGCCTGGCCCCAGACTATCCGACCAAGTTGTCTACAGATTATGTTCACGACCAGCTCTGGATTGTGGTATGTAAGGGACAAGTCTGTAGCACCGCCTCACCAGTCACCATCGTCGAAACCGTTTGGGGTAAGCTCTTGACAACCTTAGTATGGAAGCTTAAACGTCTTTAATAAAGATGGCGCCTTGGGGAGTTTTAACAACTCGCCTTCTCGTCATAAACATGGCGCTTTGTTGCGGTGCACGTTTAGGTTTCATTTCTTTAGCATTAACTAAAATTGACCCTTAATTTCTAACACTGTTTTAGTTTACAAGTCTCTAAGATAATATCGCCAACCACTATGAATTTCCCAGTCGATTTTTCGTTTCGTTTGTGTATTTTTGTTGACCAATGACAATGAAATCTAGTAAGCGTTCAAATCTCGGGTGTAAAACTACAATACAGGGGTTGTCATGTTTTTATTCAGGTTTATCTTGTTTTGTTTTTAATTATATTACAGACAGAATATCGACGCCTGTAATAGCATCAGTCATTGCATTGATTGCGGTTGCCTTGGTGATATGTGGTTTTTGTTTCTACATCAGATGCAACCAATGTCAAAGTGAGTTATTTCTTCTTTAAGTTTTAAGCTTGTATGATATCAACACGACTAAAGAGTTCATTAAAAAAAGGAATATTCATGAACTATTCGTCTATGGATGAAATGGTATGATTTACGTACGCGTGAGCTTACATTTACTTAAACACACAACAAATAATTAACAAACCACTATTTTTCTTTTTTCTGTTCACTTTTTCCCAATCCACATTTGTCATTCATACTTTATGTTTTGCTGAACACTATCCCGCTAGAATGTTATACAATATGACCATATCTAAAGATAATATCTCCCCTTTGCAGCCAACATCAAATCGTTTAGAACTTTGCAGAAATTATGAATATATCATGTATGTCCTATCTGTGAAATGTTAACATTTATAGCAGTTTCCTAGTATTTAAAGCATGCAAGGAAACCCGTACACCTGCTAGACTTCTCTGTCAGACACCTTTCAGTGACTGACTGACATTATTGTTCCTTTGGTATAATTCATGAAAATGAGCAGTAACAGGTACATGAGCATTTGTCTACATCAATAACGCACTACTTGTAATGGCCACAATTAAACTAATTGAATCTTTGTGCAGCACAAAACATACAACTATACGGTAAAAGGGTCTGAACATCAGACTATTATTAAGGTAAAAGGCAATCAATGATTGCCACAACTATGATACCGTGTGACGCGAAAATCTACATACTTTATCAGGTAGCCAATATAGCAAATGACGGGAGTGAAATAAGCTTACCCTGATCCTCGCATCCGATATCCGTGACCATCTTTGGACCAATTAAGACCTTGTATATGTAAGAGGTGTATAATATCATAGACCTATGATAATATCAAGAAGTTACTAGCTTCTTGATAATATACTGCGCAGAATCGCATTAAAGCCAGACCGATTCGGCCTTTTAGTCTGACCGGGAGGCTTGAATGCTCTAACATTTGATTATTAGTAAGCTTTCATCATTGAAATGTAAGTCGTGAACTTTAGATTTCTGTATCTAAAACAATTGCCGTTTGTTTGAAAGGAGAATCATATAGTGAGCGTTCGGCCATATTTATTAGACGTATCAGTTCATATAGATGCATCACGATGCGGAAAGGATGTAATATACTGCAAATGTTGCCGAAACGATATCTTTTCAATAATCATTAGTTTATCCCAAACGCAGACTAAAACATTTCGTCGCTGTTTTCACGAAGTGACGGTAATGAAAAAAAATTGCATTCACTTTGCGTTACGATTTTCCTCACTACCGTCACTTCGTGAAAATAGGGACGATTTATTGCATTGATTGATGATTCACGTTTTTAGGTCAAAGTATGTGACAATGATGAATTGTCTTTGAAATTATCAAACAGATTACCAATGGCATTACAACCAGGGCGTACATAGACGGTATCGGAGGGGAAGCGGCCAGCCAGAGGTTCCCCGTCGCCAGCGTGCCTCTGACTCGACAGTTCAAAGGCAGGCACCAAGTCAAACGCCGTCCGCTCCCCCGGTGCCCCATCCGTTCCGTTCAGACATCGAAATGGTGGTATGATATATTTTCCATTCTCGTTTTTTAATGTTAGGGTAGCGCGAGGGGGAACAAATATGTTTTTGTTAAACATGGCTCAACAGACCAAAGTTCTCCTCACGCTTCTGTTTAGGGTACGTTGCACGCATGTGATTGGGGACTTTTAGATTTGCACGTCGACAGCTTTGACTGCAACGTGTGACGTCATTCCAATGCACTGCGCATGCGTCACGTCGTCTCAGTCGGCGATCGAGAATGCATCAACCTTGATTTTCCTAAATCCAGTACGGTACTAGTATGCCGCGTGCGCATAAAATATACAGTTCCTCAGGTAGACAAAGGAACATCAATCCCTTCCCTGTTATTGTGTAAAAATGGGTAGAACAGGTGTCACATGAATATTCATCTGTTCTACAATTTTTTACATAATAGCAGTGAAGGGATGTTCTTTTGTCCGTCATGTTCATAGTGCTACTTCCTGCATGCATGTTTATCGTCAAGTGCAATCTAAGATTTCTAATTGTAGTCAACATGGGCAGTTGAGTACGTTGACACGCATGATCAGTCGGCGTTCGTCGTGTTCTCGTCCACTCACTCTAAAAGTCCCTTATACTGGGTCGCGTCGTCCGTAGTCGTATTATACCCGATTGACCCCGAGTCAGGCCACGGGAAATACACACAATCTCGCCATGCTACATCCCCTTTAAAAGACGGAAGGGATAGCTTTGTGCGACCTACAGTGGCTTTTCAAAGTGAGCCCTATCCACACTTGCTTAGCTCGCGATGACACAATCATAGATTAGCCTTCTACTGGAATAGATAAGTATCTTGAAGTCTATGATTTATCCACATGATGAATAAGATTAGGCACAGGAAGACCATTTGTGAGCTATACAATGAGAGGTAAATCGACTAATTATATTAAAGGAAAAGGTTGGGTTTTGAAACTTTGAAAAACAAAGAGTAAGTGTTCTTATTCGTTTGATGCCATTTGAAAAATAACATAGTATTGGAAGTGTCGGCTGAATATTGCTAGGAGCTTACTGACTTTGAGCAAACATTGTTGCTACATGTGTGTGTAGAATTATGAGTGCAGTGCCTTTGATCTTCTTGACGATTCATAATATATTATCATAACCACGTACATCACAATATAAACCAATATTTCCTATTAGGATCAAGATAGTTCATTTTAGCGCAAGAGAGAATGATCAGTATCGTTAATCAAATATAAGATTGTAGCCAGGCATTTTTTAAATATCTTCAAGCAAAAACAGAACACGTTTTCGTGTAGGCTTACAATACCTAAAAATGAGACGAATATTAGCGTATACATATGAACCAAACAAATTATGTTCTAAACCTCGTACATTAGGGACTTTTAGATTTGCACGAAGACAATGTGGATTGCTACGGTCGACGTCATTTTAATGCACTGCCTTGAATGGACGTCACACTTATCAGTCCACGCAAATCTAAAAGTCCCTATTAGTGGCATGCACTACAGTTGGTTAAGTCACAGTGAGCAGCGGACAATGAACTCGCTAAATCCCATTCACCTAACCATTGTGAATTAACCTGCGTGGAGAGGGCATTCACTATTACTAGCAAACATGGAATTGTGTCATAACTACCTTCCAAAGACTACCACACCCTCCGAAATATCCATATATGCGTTGTGTATTGAAGGCTTTTCATACCATACTTTTAAACTCTTGTCATGTCAGCGTTACATGCATTATTCCTATTCACATATATCTCTCTATTTCTATCTATTTGTTTTGCTTCCTGATTAAATAAAATGTATCTCTTCATTATTCCTCCCTGGATACTGTGTGGCGCCCTTTTCCTCCACGCAAGCAGAACTACGACGATTTGTCGGTCAGGAATAGACGATCCTTAACCTCGTCCGTTTCTTCCACGGAATCACTTTCGGAGAATATGCAGTCTTCCAACCCTCGAGACAATTACCGGGTTCCCCGTGCGACTCCAGGAACACAAAGCATGCTTCCAGGGATGTACTGTACAACGTTAAACAGAGGCACTTCTGCGACACATGGAGGCCGGGTAGGTGCTGGTCAGCACGAAAGAATCCTGCCTGATAGGCCGATCACTACAAGTTCTTGAATAGGGTATCGACATCTTCCAATGAGTTAAGGAGTTGTTTGACATATATAGAGTAAGGAAATGAACTTGAAGAAAAAAACAAGGAGTATGGAGGAGGAAGCGAAGAACGTGAAAAAGAAGGGGATAAATAAGAAGAAGATGAAGAAAACAATAAAGATGAAAAGGAGAAGACAATATTAAAGAAGAAGAATGATAGGATAGAAAAAAAGAAGAATGGCAGGATAGAAAAATAACAAGAATATTAAGAAGAAGAAGATGGAGAAGACGAAATAGCGGGTGGAGGAAGAGAAGGGGGAAGAGATTCCCTGCTGGAAAGAACACACTCATTCACACTCATTCACAGTGTGGATCACAATGTGTTTCACACTGTGAATCACACTGTGCTCCACAATGTTAAATTGGGCGCTTCACACTGTGCTCCACAATGTTAAATTGGGCGCTTCACACTGTGCTCCACAATGTTAAATTGGGCCGTTTCACACTGTGCTCCACACTGTTAAATTGGGCGCTTCACACTGTGCTCCACAATGTTAAATTGGGCGCTTCACAATGTGCTCCACAATGTTAAATTGGGCGCTTCACACTGTGCTCCACAATGTTAAATTGGGCGCTTCACACTGTGCTCCACAATGTTAAATTGGGCGCTTCACACTGTGCTCCACAATGTTAAATTGGGCCGTTTCACACTGTGCTCCACAATGTTAAATTGGGCGCTTCACACTGTGCTCCACAATGTTAAATTGGACCGTTTTCACACTGTGCTCCACAATGTTAAATTGGGCGCTTCATCACACTGTGCTCCACAATGTTAAATTGGGCCGTTTTCACACTGTGCTCCACAATGTTAAATTGGGCGCTCCAGATCACACTGTGCTCCACAATGTTGAATTTGGCACTTCACACTGTGCTCCACAATGTTAAATTGGACCGTTTTCACACTGTGCTCCACAAAGTTAAATTGGGCGCTTCACGCTGTGCTCCACAATGTTAAATTGGGGTGTTTTCACACTGTGCTCCACAATGTTAAATTGGGCGCTCCAGATCACACTGTGCTCCACAATGTTGAATTTGGCACTTCACACTGTCCTCCACAATGTTAAATTGGACCGTTTTCACACTGTGCTCCACAATGTTAAATTGGGCGCTTCATCACACTGTGCTCCACAATGTTAAATTGGGGTGTTTTCACACTGTGCTCCACAATGTTAAATTGGGGTGTTTTCACATTGTGAAAACGCCCCAATTTTACATTGTGGAGCACACTGTGAATCTATCGTTATTCACAATGTGAAACACCCCCAATTTAACATTGTGGAGCACACTATGATTCAGAGTGTGATTCTCACTGTGAAATTCACAATGTGACCACACTGTGAATCTATCGTTATTCACGATGTGAAAACGCCCCAATTTAACATTGTGAACACTCACACAGTGAAATGCCCACCACACTGTGAAACACCAAACACACTGTGAAACGCCCACAATGTTAATTTGGGGTGTTTTCACATTGTGACACATTATATTGTATGAAATTATCACACTGTGAAACGCCCACCACATTGTGATACAAGTTTAGTTTTTGAATTCTATGTGAAATATTTCAAATTATGAAAATGTAGTCGTGTAGAGCTTAGTACGTATAAATACGAAGGAGAAAAGGTTTATAATCAATGTCTCACTTATAAACTCAACTTTAATAGAAATATATCCCTGAAACATCTGAAAGTAATACAGTAATCTAAACATATACATGTTAGAGCCTTTATGAGGTAACTTAAAATGTATTTCAAAAGCCTATATTTATGTTCGCTAAAAGGACTTATGAACATACATCCTTTTAAGTATACAAAGATTGCAGTAATACTATACTTACATATAAACAAATTTTACTCTGTGAATGCCAACATAATGTAAACCAGAATGAAAACAAAGACAAATAAACAGTTGACATTAGATAGTAGAGATCCTTCTGAAAACAGAACTTGCTATCTACAGTGAAATCTCATTATAATAAGCACATTGGTGTCCACTGAATTGACCTCTTTATATCAGATATCTCATTGTACTAGGGTTTAAAACAATTAATTACAGAAAAACATGGAATTGTGAAAAAAAACTTGCCGTATCAGGTACCTCCTAATACACGTATATAGAGGTTCCACTGTATAACATTGAGGCATAAATTAGAGTGACGGCGAAAAATTAGCACATATCATCAATATTTCCCTGAAAATGTATTTTAAAGGTGTAAAGACACTCGTAAAACATAATAAAAGCACATTAGCATGTTACAGCAGTAAAAAAAAAAGTTTTAGAGCGTCTCTGGCAATATCTCTTAAACATTTTTGTAAGTATATTAAATTTATGAACATACATTTTATGGCTAGTCACATTTTCCAAGTATAAAATATCCACACATGATATGTAACTTTGGCAATTGCAACGTATCAGAAAATCTTTGGCACATACCGGTTCCTTATAAACCTATTAAGATGATAAAAAGTTTCAAAATATTTCTGTCAATACATCTTGAAAAAGTTGAAAACATATCTAATTTAGGCAGACACGTTTTACTTTTATGGCTACATAAATCTCTACAACTAATACTAATAAATACCTGAAGATGAGAAAAAAATAGCTTTTGCTCATTTTTTTTACAAATAAATAACCATACACTCTATATACGGTATCACAGAAAAAAGCAGAATGGCATATATGTACTTCCTAATAACTTCCTAGACTACGTAAGTAACTTTTTTTGTTTTGTTCTAGCGATACTATACTGATGTTAGGATATTATAACTAGATGGAACTTCCGACTGTGTAGTCAAAAATAGTACCTCCACTATCATGCAATTTGTTAAAGCCCGAATTATCATCCCCCAGATCTTGAGATATCACTTCAGTCCACCGTATGGTGTATCACGTACGTCAGGTCTTGTGTCGCGAATATACAGTGCAAATTTAAAACTTTCTATAATATTCTATGTGCAGTTAAAAATTCTTCTTCCCCTTCTAATGGAGATGGACATTTTGTACATCTTGCTTAAAAGCTTTAGCGGAGGTACAGTTGACAAATCCAGCAGGTAGCAAGTTCCAAAGCATGATGAAATCAGGAAGTCCTTGTAAATTGTATTTGGAATTGCTGCGTATGACCATGGTTGGATGTTAACACCGATAGAAGGTAGATTTTGAGAAACTCTGAGTGCAGGTTGACAGTCCCGTACACCATCACCATCTTAAACCATGCCCTGCGTTCTCGGAGAGATGGCCATTTGAGATGTTGCAGCATTGGTGCGATGCTGCTGGTATGATGGTAATGTCCAGTGACAAACCGGGCGTTGCGGAGCTGTACCATTTCCAGCCTGTGTATGTTGTCCTGGGTGTGAGGATCCCACACTGTGCACGCATACTCCAGGATTAGGCGAACAAGAGCAAAGAAGCACAACGTTTTCGTTTTTCTTAGGCAAGGCCTAATGTTCCACTGCAAAAATGCATCGACAGAGCTGGCTTTATTTGTTGTTGTCTTTATGTGATCTGTCCAATTCAGGTTGCTCTTGAGGTGAACATCAAGATATTTAGCAGTTTCCAGTCTCAAGAAGTTGCCCTTGGATGCTGTATGACCATTTGACAGGCTTTCTCCTGCGTGCTACCCTGGTGTCCTTCAGTTTTTGGCCCATCTTCCTCTTATTTCTGCGGAGGTCACTCCTAGCAATCTTCCCATAGCATATTCTATCATGAAAAAAATAAAAAATAAATGAGAGAAATGTTACAACTTCTAATTCAATGATAACAAAACAACAACACAACAAAACAATGATAGGTGATGAATACAAAATATGTAAAAATCTGCATATCCACCCTACATTACCTGAAAAGAAATATCATAAAGTAAATGTTTTCCTAAATGACACTTTGCCCTCCCAGACATTACAAATTATTCGTTTTTTTGTTAACAAGATGCCACGTAAACTAACGTACATTGTAAACAGTTGTTAAAGATATGCTTGAGTAAAAGTATAGGTTCGTAAATCATAAATTTGCAAATAAACATGCTGTTTAGCATCGAATATGAGAAAATATTGCTTAGATACCAGATTAAAGGTTATAGTTTCATATTTTGGTCTACATATAATTAGTCAAAGTCTGAAATCAACTGAATTTAAAAAGAAAACTTTAAAAACGACATACATTCAGCAATTTATTATTTTTTTCTAATCATAAGCAATTTCCCATTAGCATTGTTAGTACTATGAGCCAAGGGGCACTGTCAGTATATTTTATAGTAAAATGCCTCACCAATGATGGCATCCACCTTGTCTTGGTCAAGCAACTGCTTGCCTTATTCTCCTCCTTTAATCTAAATGCTGAAACTATGCTGTCTGCCATCTCCGCATAGGTCAAGAGCATACCCATTAGTGCAAGAACAGCACATGACCAGGATTGCTTGTGTAGCTCCAGCATTCCCAGCTGCACTTGGGTCAAGTATGTCCGAACCTCATGTATGGAACTGTGGAACTGAAAAGAAATGTCAAGTATTACTGTAAAGAAAAGCATGTTTACAGATTTAAATTTAATCAGACATACGCAGCCTAAATTTGACATACTCGGTATGCCACACTTCGCAACCCTACGCAGATCGAGTGTGAAAGTTGTAGTACGACACAGTTCACAACCAAACATTATTCATACTACTCTTAGCTCAAGGAAACGCTACGAAGACACATTTTCGTACATTTTTTGGACATTATTATTGAACATATGTCATTTCTAGTGAGCTAGGCCTATATCTTATTTTTATGCATTTTCGTCCGACTATTTTTTGCCGACAGAAAGCATGTAATAAATTGTAGCAAAATTTGTTTCTTACCTGAATTTTTACATGACTCGGAATATGGGATCATTCTCTTTAGAATCTAGGGTTGATTTGGTTCAGATATGCAAACAAATTGGAAATATCTGCACTTTTCTCGGCAGAGTATTGTGATATAGGGTCTAGTCCAGAGCCTAAATGCCGACATGGGTCCCCTTTTCATAAAAAAAATCCTTAGACGTGGGTCCTCTTTTTCATTTATTCCTTTCCCCTCTTTTCTCCCTCATTTTCTCTGGGATTTTGGGATTTGCTCCTAAATACTAGAGCCTACATTGTAAATGCCTAAATCTCTCCCATCTCTAAATAAATCCGGGGCCTAAACAATGCCGGGGAATCCTTCTGTGATTGCATTTCCAGTGTGTACGTAGCTCGTAAACTCAACTAGACCCCGGGTACCACATATATCAGGACCCCGTTCGCCCTATGGCGGGTACTCATATGGCACAATGCGCGCTAGGTATATGGTATCCGCCCGTATAGGGGTCGTACCCCCGGGAACTTGTAGTGCTTCGCGCGCTGAAAATGATATGATCGGCAGCTATACCCTGCGTACCCTCTGCCCAGCAGCCCGGCAGCAGCGGGGCTCAAGCAGGGAGCTATATAGCCGATGCTTGAGAGCTCGTGTACGGGTACGTTAATTAAAACAGGAAAAGTCCTTCAATTAAAACAGATGCTAGAGGTGCCAGCGCAGTATAATTATGTTGCATGGTGTTTTCATCTTTAATATGTGTAGCCTACTTGTAAACTACATGTAGTATGGTACAGTTTACTAATAAAGAATTTTATCGAGAAACTGCAAAATGATTGGCCATTGTATTATTACACACATAGGTGCATTACTATCCTGGCTGTGTATTAAAAGCTGTGCTATTAAATTCTCAACATTTCAAACACCACTGTACAAAACTCAACCGATTTCTCTCAAAATTGGTACTTTAGTGACGATTGATGACACCTAAATAGCAGTAAGATACATTTGTCAACTTTCTGATGGTAGAAGGAATAATTAAAAAAAAATCAAATTGTGAGTCCACTGTCAAACTTGCCGATCAGCCGCATCGGCATAATTGTGTGAATCTGTGTGTTATGAGTGTGTTGACTATTCATGTATTTAAATGCTGCCTATTAACGCGTAAAGCAGTGCTAAAGGTCAAAACGCATTAGCGTTAACTCTCTATATGCTTTGCTGGAGAGTTTTATTACACATGGGTCCATTTTTCACCAAAAAAATCCTTAGACATGGGTACCTATTTACAGCAAAAGGACCCTTGGATGTGGGTATGGGTTCGGAGGTCTCAGCCGCACACCTCCGTCCGACTATAATCTGAGTACCCCCCCCCCCCCCCCCCCCCCCCGGGCCTAAAATGACCGATATACACTACTTAAAGCTATGGTCACAAATCTGAGCAGCGACCGACCGATCAGTAGCCTGCTCGGTCGCTGCTGGAATTTAGGCATCGCCCAGCAATTAGGTCGGTGTCCGGGCGGCGACCGCCCCGGCACCGAGCGTATTTTGGGCGGCGAGTGAAAAGTGAGCAGGCGCCGCCCAAATTTTAACTCCGCGCTAAAACTTCAGCGGCGACCGAGCGATGCCCTAAAAACGAGCGGTGCCTGGGCGGGCGCCGCTCGGTGGCCGGGCACCCGCCGGGCAGAATTGGTTAAAAACTCGCCGCTCGGCCGCCGAGCAGGCTACTTTTGGGTAATGTGACCATAGCATAACAGTTTGTGTGTTTAACATGCTCAATTATAATGTCAAAAATGTTTGAAAAAGGGTCTTCCTAGCGTTCCCCCGAGCGAAGTACGTACAGCAAAAATGATACTCACCATTCAATGACAGCCACACAGCAGCTCGGCAGCAGCCCGTCAGCACCCTCGCATGATAGCTATCCTAGCCGTTGGGAAACTTCACCATGCAGGCCATGTCCGCCATTCCAATTATGTTCTCATCCGTCAACATGTCTTTGTAGTTGTACATATTCGTCTGATATCACGGAAACTTGTTTGGCCTCGATCCAATACACGAGTATTCGATTTTTTTCTTCAGTTGTTGTCATCTTATTTAAAACTATACGGGAACAAGACAAATTACGAGCACAATCGAGGACCACATTCCTGCCACATTCTTGAAAACGAAGAGCGCTGCATGCACGCGCACGTGGTATGCATTGTACGCTATACGGGTAGAGGTCAGTGTATACGTACACAACAGTATGCTACGCGTGGTACGGTACGGTCTTTGAGCAAATACATATGCAAAACAAAACTGTTAATGATCAGGATTCACAATGTGAATGAGGAATTCATTATGTGTACTGTATTTATAACACTGACCACACTATGTAAATCTACTGTTTCACACTGTGAAATAGTTTTCAAAGAGCGGCCACATTATGAATAATATCGCTCACACTGTGAAATATTTGTCACAGCTAGAGTGGCCATACTGTGAAATTTGTACAGGGCGGCCACACTGTGAATTTTACTTTTCACACTGTGAAATATTGTCCTCAGGGCGGCCACAATGTGAATTCTATTTTTCACACTGTGAAATATTTTTCACAGAGTGGCCACATTGTGTATTTTATAGTTCACACTGTGAAATATTTTCCAAAGGGCGGCCACACTGTGAATTCTATTTTTCACAGAGTGGCCACACTGTTAAATTTACTGTTCACACTGTGAAATGTATGTCGTAAGGTATTCACACTGTGAAAATCTATTTATCACTGTGTGAAATATTTGTCACAGTTTGGTCACACTGTGAAATAATTTTCACACTGTGAGCGGGTACATTCACACTGTGAAATCGAATTTCACAATGTGAATACTGTGTGGTTTACCACATTGTGACAGTGTCCACACTGTGAAAACACTCCGTTCACAGTGTGAACTGTGTGTTCACACTGTGTTCACAGTGTGAGCTACGTTTTCACACTGTGTTTCACACTGTGAATGAGTGTGAATGAGTGTGTTCTTTCCAGCAGGGTTGTCCAAATCTCTTGCAGTTAATACCATTTTTCGCATACTTAATTATATCGTCAATCTTTCTTGACTTATATGTAGAACGGTATGGGTCAAATAAACTCTACCAATAAAATTAACGAAGTAGCAATGTAATTGCAAACGAAGGTATACAATTAACGAGGGTGGGGAATCTTAAGATTTGTTCTTGACCATCCATTTGAAAGATCAAATAATGTCATCTTTACAAATTTACCAATTTGAGTGAATATTGAGAACATATTTATTCTGTTATAATATGCATGGATTTTGCTGTATGTAAATTAGTGCTCATTTAGACCGTTAAGAGCAGCAATGTAAATATAATATTAGTATTATTCAATATAAAATGGATTGCACTTAAATGACGTGTTTATCACATCTGTAATTGATACCTATTGTTCAGGGGGGATGATCTATTCATTCATCCCCCCCCCCCTGAACAATAGATATTACGTAAGGATTGACGCCCATGGTTTATCAAAATTTTAGCAATTGAGTGTAATATAATTTCTGGTATTTGTTATACATGTATTACGCTAAAGGTTTAGCAAGAACTAAGACCTAGCTTTATTAAACTTCTATATTGTTAAAATAGTGACATGTACTTTGTAATATATCACCTCCTTCATCATTTTTATTTTTCTTCTCCTTCTTCTTCACCTCCTCCTCCTACTCCCCCTTCTTATTCGTATTTGTATTATTTATCCGTATACCCGATATCAATCTTGATCCCCAAATTGTCTACTCTGCCATTGAAGAATATGAACATTTCTCAAAATTTAGAAATAGTGGCACCCTACTAATCTGTTATATAAATGTGTATACAGGTGCTTTTTGTGTATGTGTGTGTGTGTTCATGTCTGAAGTAGAATAACACTACAACTGTGGTAAACGAATTTCGTTTAGATTTTAAGTTTCTCAAAATGGTCAATTTGTTGCTATTGTTTTCATTTTTGAGGGTGTGTGTGTAGGGAAGGGATGGGGCGGAACGAACTTGTAACATTATAATTGCAAGGCACTGTCACTTGATGCAAGTAAATATTAAAATAAAATGCATTTTATAATTTATCTTCAAAATTGAATTCCTTTGTAAAATGGTTGGCTGTAGTGAATGGAAACATGAGAGATGGAGGGGTTTGTGAAAAAGCCTATTCCAAATGCAAACATTTCTTGTTTCTCCGACCGTTCAGATTGTTCATGGATTTTCCAGTAAATTGGTCTGGATTATAGCTTATAGATTGTAGCTTAGCAGGAATGTGTTATGATTGCTTAAGATCAAGGTCACCACGTCACATGTTTTCGACTTGTTATCAAGTAATGATTCAGAAGTATTACACTCCTCATATACTTTTGGGTGCGTGGATTTTAGACCTCTTTATGTGATCATTAATACATTCTTATAGAGGAGAATATCATTTCTTATCTTGTATTTATTTCTCTTCTCGTCCTCTTTCTATCTTTTTCGTATTCATCTCGTCTCGTTTCTCTCTCTCCCTCTCTCTCTCTTTCTTTCAAGTGAAACTTGTTAAACAAACGAGCAAAAAGAAAATGTTGATAATGACCATAATGATGATATTAATAATAAATTATATGATTGGTAATGATAATAATTATAATAACATCAATGATACATATTTAAAAAAACTATCATAATAAAAATGATAATAACAAATAATATTGATGGTAATAATAATAATGATACACATACCAATACAAATACACAGATGCATACAAAACGATATTTCCCGTTTCGCTTATTTATTTAAAATATCTGTAGTATAATAGTTTTTTTTACTTTTGAAGCACAAACAGAGCATTTAGAAACAGAAATTGAAAAACAAGGCATTCCATAATCTATCGGGTCCTACAGCTTAATATTAGTGCCCCCTATTTAGATGAAATGAGTTTTGTACGGTAGGCTTGGACAATTCTACGGAGAATACTACACATGCATATGCAATCAAACACACACAAAGTAAGACTCATTGCATATTTCAAACAAAAAATACAGTTACAATTGATTTGTCGATATTGAAATATATATAGTTAATATTATGATATTGCTTGGGAACAACATTAATAAAACAAAACAAAACATGAAGTCAGAACAACGGATAGAAGAAACATGTAAAAATGAAGTAAAATGGGAAGTTGTGTAAATCAACAAATATAAATGGCAAAAATGTATTTGTTAATAGTCATTAAGAGAATATACGAATATACATTTTGAATCGGTATGTTGTCGGTTTGTTGTCGGTCTGTTGTCGGTATCGTTGGTGTGAATGGGGGTATAAGACATTGATTAGACCATACGGATGCGATGCAGATACAAATCAAGGCTGAAAAATATATATACACAAAATAAAGAACAACTCTTAATAATAAACCTGTCGAAATAAACATGACAAAAACATCTTTGAAAAACGAAATATAGTATGATATGACTAATCCTTTTAATCTAATGGAAAGACTGCGAGGGTTAAGTTTGTGGTTACGTGTGTTTATATATACAAATATATACATACACATCAAGAGAAAATAATAGTAAGGGAATAGAGAAGTAAATTGCAAAGAAAACCTCTTTTTTCGCAGGAGCAAACCCTACCCTTTTTCGAAAATATCAAGGCTTTTCGCTTAAACAAAACATTTGTAAAACCTTAAAGGGATCCGGTAATTTTGTCTCAGATTCTGAAACAAAAATCTGGATTTAGCTCATGATGCAGTGATAATTATTAACCTTTAGGTCAGTCAGGAACCCCATGACTTTTACAAGCCGATCGCCTGTCTGAATATCAAGATATTTATGATTGAAATTACAAATTTTGAAAACCGTTCGCCTGACGGTTTTCATAACACTACAGTCTATTGGGGAGAGATTTTTACCTTTTTGAGGCACTTCTTGATCATTTTGAAGCGAAATTTGTTTAGGGCTTCAATATTTCACCATATCACAGACACTGGTAACACATAGGGCCGTGTATCTCAGATTTAGCATTGTTAAACGATCCCTTTAAACTCATGGATAATGTACTATTTAAAGCTCAGCATGTACAACAAAGACCTAATAGCAAATCAAATGTATAAAGTCATAGAAAGTAAATAACTTGAAAACCATCACCTTTAAGAATGAGTTAGATAAATGTAATCATATACACTATACAGATTAAGTCTACACAATTAAAGTTAATCGACTTTCGAGAGTACTGAATAATGAAACAAATCTTTGTAGTAACAGCATTCCTATTGATGCCTTTTGATGAGGATTATATATAACAACTAATACAAGTTTTGACAATACATGTATACAATGGACCCATGTCGCAGCATTATGGGTTGTAATCTGACATGTTTACACTGCATTCATTTTTTTCTTTTTCTTTCCTCCAAGTTGTCCACAAACGAAATTCCCAGCTAGGGTTGCGTGAAATCTGGCGAAACTGCAAATAAGTCTACATCATACATTATTGCTTGTGTCATACAATTTCGTTCATTTGAATGTATATGAAATAAACCTCTGCATTATATAGCCATATGATTATACATAATTATGCATAAACTTCTTTCTTAAATATATATTTATAAAACTTATGATACTGTTAAAGCAAATCAGGTACAAATTGAATTTAGACTTTTAAATGCAATTTGAGTTACTTTGAATTGAATTTAATCATTTGGGAGTTGTAACTATCGTACAGAACCTAAATACAATCTAACACATACCAAAATGGTTTCTAAGTTTCTATGGAAACATAGACTTTTTTGGATTGATTGAAAAGCTTTTATTATAATTGCACTTCGCAGCCAAAATGGCTGAATTATGTACAATTTACTTTGGCAATAATGCATAGAAATGTGGTTTAATATTCACACAAAGTAAAATATACGGTGTATAGACTCGGGTGTTCGACACAGGCTTCAACAACAATTGCTCCTCGGTAAAATTCCTACTGACAGAATGGGGAACACGAACTATCTGTGGACCAAATTACACCTGTTTCTGGCCCTAGTGCTTACATAACCTAAAGTTAAAAACCGAAATGCAAATCAAACCCTGACCATCAATCGTTTACGAAATAAATGCCAGAAAAAAAGGTCGCAGGTGCAAAGTGTCGGGTCACCCATACATAATTTGGCCTGGAAATTCATTGCGATGTTCCTGGTTTATGTTCGTTCAGTCCCACTGTCCCACGACGGGCTTTATCGCGCCTGGTTGAAATATGCACCCGTACTTGACAGGTCTTCGGTACAGTGCCTGCAGAGGCAGTGGCGCGAGGTGCTTGAAAGATAGGCGAACATCGGCGAGGCGGTCTAGTACGTCAACAGTCAGCTTGGTTGAACGGACTCGTACATGACGCAACTGGTGACGTAGTACAAACAAAAGAGAGAGAGAGAGAGAGAGAGAGAGATAAACACTAGTCCGTAATTCTTGCGTGTGCAAACATATACAATCAAATTCAAAAGAAGAATTAGTTTAATTATAATAATACTTCTTTCTTGAATAGCGCTTTTCAGTACTGCATACCCTCTCAAAACGCTTTGCCTTAGGAAAGATGAGAACAATTCAAAGCTCTGTCATTATTTGTTTCTTCTGATTTCCCTACATAAAAATAACAATGGGTAAATATCAAATAATGGCAGGGATTACAATCCTCTCCTAAGATTACTTAACATACAGGCCTCATGATTACAAGTTTAAGATCACTTTTTCTTGACATACACTTTTGTAGCCTCACGTATACCCAAACACGTGTCTATTCTTCATATCACTCTATGGGCTTTTCAATGCGTGTACGAAACTTGGCGCCGTTTCATAAAACTTTGTATTTATAACACATGCTAAATTTCTATGACAAATTTGCTCTTAGCCAATCAGATGCCATGATGTCAGTAGCTTATAACAGTAGCTTGCAACTTGTTATTGATATCAAGTTTTACGAAACAGGGCCCAGGGTTGTACAATTACCTCATCTTTCAGATGTTTAGGCAGATGCAACATCACAGACAAGCTGCAGGAAGACATCCTTGTCATCACCAGCCTGCCAACGGAGACCTGCAGATGGAAGTCCTCCTCCCCTGATACTTTGTCAGCGGCCGAAGGATCCAACCTCTCCGGAATGTCTTCGTAGATCGGGCTGATCGCAGGGAAGGGTGTGGCCGTCGCACCTTTAGGGGTGGATGGTGATGTGGGCGTGGTGGGCGAGGTGGGAGTAGGTGGTAGTGAGGATGCAAAGGTAAGATGCAGTTCTTCGAGCAGCTCCGCGCTGTCAAGCCACTCCCAATCGTAGCAGGTCGAGGAGAAGCGTCCAAGATCGAGTACGGTGACAGTCTTTAGATGAAGGGCTTTCTGACCGAGGGCACTAGTAATTAAGTAAATGAGCTTCATAATATTCATCATGAATAACAAAAAGTGTGCTAGATTTCTCTTTAGATTGTGTAAACGAATGTTACATTATGGAAACATTATTGCAATACCTTGTAAATATACCAGTATGTGCCCTTTGAGTCAGAAATACTAAAACAATGTATGGATGTTTCTTGTTGCTCCCTACCAGATACAACATAATATACCTTTTGACATAACATACCTGAAGAGTGGATAATCTTCACTTTATCGTGGGGAGGGTAGCTTAACGTGAGATATGTTTAAGGAAACTCCTATACATGAATACGAAGTACTGCACAGAAGCTTCACTTCACAGAAGTTCCACACATACGAATGTGTGCGAAGAACTAAACATATGTATTGACAATGAAGTTAACACATTATCATTTAAGGATTCATGATAATGTTTTGGCTGCTATCATTTGTTTATTCAAGTACATCGAATTGTTGACACATGAAAATAGGAAATATAAATATAAAAATAATAATAATAGTTAGCTTTTATATAGCGCCTAATACAAATGTCTAAAGCGCTTTACAAATATACTATTACCCCGGTCATTGGAATCAGATAACATTTTCTGGAAATAGTCATTCATTGTGGAGGTAAGCAGGTGTGGTGAACACGTCACCGGAATATGGATTCCATGGTCCGTGTTTCAGGTCTCACCGTGGCCCTTTTGTCCTTTGCCAAGACAGTACTCTACATTTGCATTATCAAATTAAGGTGAGGTAAATGGGTACCTGGAAGGAATTCATTAATTGATAAAAGTGCATTCGGGGCAACAATATAAAACTGGGTTAATGTATAGCGTACGAGTATCAATTTGGGCAGACTAAGGAAGAATCCATAAGTATTGTTACTGCTATTATCATTAGTGTTATTATTATCTGCATAAACTGACCTATTCTCAGATAAGAACATCTCCAGTTCATCCATTGACTGAAGTGTCTCCGATAGCTGCTGTGAAAGATCATCGGTCAGATTGCAGTTCTTGATGCGTGCAGAGTGCATCTTTAAAGACAAAAACAAATGCTGTTTTTATTTTAAAATGTCATACTATGCCACAACACAGTTTTCATATGAAGAGCTGAGCATCGAAATTATCTCACACGATACTTAAATTCCGCTTTCGTTTATGTTGCTTTAAGCTGTTAATGCCGGGCTCCGTATTATCAAAATTGATGGTCATATTAATTCTTACGTAAGCCGACAGGACTGTTCTTCTACCTTTTGTCTAAAAGACGCCGGGACCATCTTCAGGTTCTCCATGGTTGCCGAATACACATTGCAGAGTTCCATACTAGTTTATGCTCAACTCCGTATTATCAAAAGACAAAATTGTTGTTGATGATCATAAAATCAGTTCCTTATGTAAACCGTTGGGACTGTATTCCTACCTTTTGTCTAAAAGACGCCGGGAACATCTTCATGATCTCAATGGAAGTCGAAGACACATTGCAGAGTTCCATGCTGTCCCCAGTGATATCCAGCAGCTCCTGAAAGTTCGTCTCCGATCTTCGGTCGTGCTCGATGATAATGTGCACCTGTTGAATGGTGGTGGGGCCGCCGAAGGCACTACTTAGACGCTCGAACTCCTCCTCCCGTAGAGGGGAAGAAACACTCCCCTTGAGAACCCCATCTTCCCCCATGGTTGGAAGTTCGTTCGTTGGTCTAAACAAAAACAAATCGTTGGTCCATGGTGCTTATGCAATATTTTCCGTCCATATTAATCCTTATTTTGTTTTTATTCCTATTCATCTTTGTGCACTTCAATTTATTCCTAGAAATCCGATTGATTGGCTAAGGTTCGAAAACGAATGAACCCCCCAAAACACAACGATATGTATAAGATTAGGAAGTTTTCGACATCAGACGTGAACCCCCTCCCTTAAACAAAAACAGAACAGATTAATATAAACATTTTGTTCAAATTTCATTAATATAATAATAGTCAGACGATATATTAATACACTCGTGGTGAGTAAATTTTAAGAACATTTTAAAGAAAAGTTCCTCCGCAATGGATTTTGATATCGTCTACTTCGATATATGGATACAAAAAGTTGTGGGGGAGGGGGGGGGGGGTATTGGAATAACACTATTGGTTCCCTCGTTATTTATCGTGCTGTTATAGGAAGTATCCACGTAGGTTTTTTTTTAGCCGTCTGGTCTAAAACCAGTTCGTCTACTACCCAATTGTTATGTTCCCATTTGTTCTACACCAAGCCTTTTTATCATTATGTCTTATTTCATTCGGTCTAATTCCCAGTTTATCTGGTGCCCGTTTTTTCTACTATCCATGTGGTATAAATATTCTTTTAATCATACAAAATAATGATCACCAAATGACTATTATACCCAATAGATGGTAAACGAAATGGGCGTTAGACAAACTGGGGATTTGACTAACTGGTAATAAGACTGAAGACCAAATGACAAGTACACGGAATTATTATTAAACCATATTGATAGTATAAAGGCTGGGTGTAGACCATATGGAGATAGACTAATAATGTATAGTAGACGAACAGGGCCCCATTTCACAAAACTTTAATATCATCACTGACAAATGACAGTTTTTGTTATAAGCTACTGAAATCCTTGCTTCTGATTGGTTATCAGCAGACTTGTCACTGATTTGTATCATTTGTCATTGAAAAAAGGCTTTGTGAAACGGGTCCATGGTTGATTAAACATCAATGCCCCTCATCCTACCTTTGGAAGGTTCCCTTGAAGACCTGAAGCTGTTTGATTTCCTCTGGGATGTTGCGGTCCTCTGTGGAGAAAGTCTCCAGGCGAATCAAGGAGTGGACGAAGTCGAGCAAGGGGCGGATCAGGTCATCGGTGAAGCGGGTTCTCTTGATGCATAGCGTCCTGACCTGTACGTGTTTAAGAGAAAGGTGTCAAGGTACGTCTTAACATGTATTACGTAAAACAAAGAAGGACATAAATGGCACCACAAGAAAGCAGCAGCACTACCAACAGCAACAACAACGACTATTTTGAAGGATAAGGATGAAGGGTAGCGAGAGTTAAAAGAATGTGAACACATGTTTACATTTTTGTAATTAAACATAACGATACAAAATTCATTAAATCAAGGGTAAATAATGTGTCTGGAAAGAAAGAAACATAGGAAAAAGTGCTATGAAAAGAAGGAAAAAAGTACAGAAGAGCGAGAGTGCAAGAGAGGAACCACAAAATAATGAATATCATAACATAATGGATACAGCGTGGTCTATATCCTGTCATGGTACACGCATACATCTTAAATTCTTTCGACCGACTTCCTTTAAATTTTAGCATGAAGTATAAATCTATAAACACGATAGCACGTAAAATGTTTGGGTTCATGATGTCGGCGAATAACTAACTGGGAGTGTTACACAAAAATCCTAAGTTGGACTTAACATTTATGGAAAGCCGTTAGCATCCTTGAAAATATTTGTAAAAGTTATTTTGAAAGGCATACAATGTTGATTCAAATCATTCTTATTTTCTATTATCATGGGAGATTTCATGTTATGGATCTGGAATTCATGAAAAGTCTACAATACTTCGACTTTTGCTTTTGAATATATTTCATTATAAAGCTACAATGGCTCTCCAAAATATATAATTCCAACTTAGAGTTAAGTTCGACTTAGAATCTCTGTGAAACACCCCCCTGGTCTGCATTACCTTCCTTCTGTACGAGTCTGGTAGCACGTTAAGAACCTTCATGGTATTTCCCGTTGCGTTAGTGAGGTCAATTCTGTCATCCACCATCAGGACGTGCTCCTGGACACCGACTCCTGCACGTCGTATGGTTCCATCTTCTCCGTCCCCAATGGTCAGTCTCACCTCTGTCGAGTACTTCGCGTCTCCAAGGATGCTGCTCAACCAACCCACCTCCTCCGGAAGGACCGGGGACCGGAAGTTCGCCTGTAGAACTGCGATGCACCCGAGGCGCGGTAGGTCCCGGCTGAGGATCGTGGAGTTCTTGACAGTCATCACCTCGATGTTTGGGCATTTGGCCAGCGCAGTCCACAGCACGGCCGTCACCTCCGGTGACAGGTAGCAGTCCGATAGATCGACAAGCCGAAGCTAAATATATGAAGCAGTATATAGTACCAATAATTAATAACTATGATGTTTGTCATTTATTGATCTCAATTTAAACACTTCTTAAAACAATTAATGTGCTCTTGAATTGTATTTTTTTACTTGATGTTTTTTTTGTTTTGTATATTCATTGCTGGTCATATGTCATGCCCGTAGTAGCCTTAAATTCGGGGTTATGATATCCATGTTGATGACAAAATGGGTGTTCCATGTTCACATTAACACGGCATGATGTTTGATGTTTGGCAAAGGATATGCTCCAACTGAGCAGTGTGGAAACACTTTGACTCGAACTAGTCCGTATATTAAACTAAACTCAAACGGTCCAAACGGAAAGGAAATGAAAAAGGGAGGAAACAGAAGAGGAGGAGGAAGATGAAGATGACGAAGAGGAAGAGAAAGAAGACAAAGAGGAAGAAGAATAAAGAGAAAAAAAAGAAGAATAAAGACGAGGAGGAGGAGTGAGATGGTAAAGAAAAACGAATATTCGAAATCCTTACTCCATTAAAGATGCTCTGATTGAGGTCGGGTATAATTGAGAGGGCGCCCTCGGGAGCAAGATGAAGAGACAGCTTATTGAGCAGGAGTAGGATGACAGGATATGTTGGATTCTGTACATCGGCCACCTCGAGCTTCAGTAGATCTGGATATCCTTGCAGACCCATCGACAACCTCTTGGCGATGTGTGGGGGCATGCAGGAACTCTGGATGGTTACACTTTGGACCTGTTTGTTGCAAATGTTAATATGACAAAACAGTAATCAAACGATGGATCATGTTGGGATGTAAACATTCATCATTTGATTAAAAAAAAGCATCGTGCACATTTCCCAAATGTACCTATTCGATTGCTCATATAACAGCCAACATTAACTCGGTCTTGTACTTTAAAAACTGTACTGCGATTTCAAGTCCGAATTGTTTCATTTACTCGCTCTGTATTATTGTCAGTCGCAACAATAATGACGTCATGATGGTATACAGGCATCTTTAATAGTTATTCATATGATTTCCTTAAATGTTTTGTAGAATATGTGGATGCATACCCCATAGGATTTGAGTATATGCGGAAGGTTATACCCGAAAAGATACTGACTAACCCATATTGCTTCTTTAAAATCAGTTACAACGTTAAATAGTCCTTGCCAGTATTGCAGACAGTGGGAACATTCATCCAATGGAAGAACCATATTAAAATCATGCGTGATACACAGTAGATGCGGGGAAAAAGAACTCACCTTTTCTTTTACGAATGGAGGGAGTTTGTAGAAACCGATCGTGGTGTGTATGGTTGGTAGGTTAATCAGGACATTCCCTCCTGCAAAGCACCGTTCAACTGCGTACGTCGTCTGTTTGTCCAGCTGTGGGATCTCTGCCAAGCAGTCCAGGATCATCCTAGTCTTGTCACCCAGCGGCACCTTATTATCAGAATGAATTGTCTCTATCATTTGTAAGCCGGTTGAAGGGCTGCCAAGGCCAGCTGTAAACCGGAGCACCCGGCCGAAATCTGCAAGGTCTTTCTTTGCCATCTGCTTCAATGCTTTGTCCAGACGAGAATGTTTTCCTTTGGCTATCTTCGACTTCACTTCTTTCGACAAATACTTTGCCACGCAGTGCTCCTGGGCATTGTGATGATAGAATTCAAAGCCGGTGTCGTCGAGCTTCTTATAGCTTGTCTTGCAGATGATGCCGAGCGAAATTGCCTTTTGAAGGGTTGCCGAAATCTTCTTGAAGTCATTTTGTCCAAAGGCACGTTTGTTGGAGCTTTCAAGGAGACCGTTGAAGGCGACCTCTCCTATTCCTTGGACAATCATTTCAAGGTCGGTATCCCCTGATGACGTGGATGCCTTTTCTTCTCCATGTTTGAGGAAGAAGCGATGTACACTGTCAAAGAAATCCGACTCGGTCGTCACGAGCTGCAGAAGATTACATTCCCAGAGATGACACGCAAGGAGGCAGAAAAGAGGCGTGGCCAAAAGGTCGTTGATTACATCGTTCATTTCTAGGAACACCATCAGCTCATTGGCCGTGTGCAACACATTATCTCTGAAGAAAGAACGTATGAACGATGTCGACTGTACCTTGGAAAGCCCTTGAAGCTCCATCTTGAGGAAGTCGTTTGGCAAGTCCTCTTTGTTGAAGTAGTCTTCCAGTCGAGGATGACTCGTTACAATGACACGGCACTTCATTAGCTGGATGTTTTGGACAACACGCATGACATGACCACACTTCATCGAAGATATCTCCCCTCTGAACTCCTCCACCCCATCAAGCACAACCATACACTCGGATTGGTTGTCTTCAATGAGTTGGTCGATTCCTTGAGCGGTCAATCCTCGGACATCATTTAGGAGTTGGTTGACGATGGCCTGTCCCAAAGAACCATGATTGTCGAGGAACTTCATCTTGAGAACAAACAGAAGAGAGACATCCTGGAGCGGGGAACCTGGAACCCGTTCAACCCATTCTTGTGCCATCTGAGCCACCAACGTGCTCTTGCCTATTCCAGCACGGCCAAATATTACGATCCTGGTCGGCAAAGCACCATTTTTTCTCGTCCTCAAAATCTCATTGACAGACCCTTCTAATAGAGGGATCTTCTCCACGTACATGTTCTTTCCACGCTTAACGATGCGATGAACAACTATGACCGGAAGATCGTTGTCTGAATTCGAAAATTCAAGTTTCTTGAGGATATCGGTGGTTTTCAGCCTGTAGTGGAATTCAAGTTTTTCGCGGCAGTCTGAAACTGTGAAATTCTTTGCTATTTTAACGCTCCTGATATCTGGATTGGTGCATGGAAAAGAGGGGAAAAGGAATAAAGATTACAAAGGAGAAAGAGAGAAATCAAGAAAGTAAGAAAGAGTCGAGGGAGGGGGAAAAACAATTATATAGGGGAGATAGACGGTTGAATGTTACCAATACAATATTATATGCTGCTCTGTCTTATTTCCCTATCAAGTATACTTAACCAGTCATTTTTTAAAGGTAGGTTATTCTTAATAGTTTAATACTAATCTTCAATACAAATAAAAATGACTTTCTGATAGGTTTAATACTTGTTCACAACATTAGCAACAATTAAATAAAAGAGCGAGAGAGAAAGAAAGAGAGATAGAGGGAGAGAGCTAGCAGGAAACAAATTTGAAGAAGAAAAGGGGGCGCAGACCAAAAGAAAGCCATTTTGAAAGACGGCACGATTAAATGATGAATGTAGTCTCACCTCTTCGTCTCTTAGTGGTCTTTAGATGTGAATCTGCCATTTTCACGAGATTAGAACGCCTGAGGGCGTGCTTCAACAGCAATGACTGGTCCTCCCCGGAAACCGTTGACTTCCATTTCAGCAGCATGTCAAAAGTACCTTCCATGGATTGGGCGGTTGTCCGATGGTTCATGGCTTCAAATCCGTTGATATCAGCTTCCTTGAAGCCAAGTTCAAGCCCAAGTTTCCTGAGCTGGTCGCCAGTCGTTATATCCCCTGCTAATGCTCGAAGAACGTCTTCATTCAGACCTTGCTGTATTAGGAACGACGAGCCTTCTGGAGAATAACAATAACTTAAATTTAATAAGTTTGTCATCCATACTTTAGTTCGAACATTCTTCATTATTGGAATGTGTTTGTGAGAATTGAAACGGTAATCCATAGAAAATATTCAAATAAAATGTAGCATTTTATGAATCAAAGTATTAGAAAATGACAAATGTTAATAACAAAACAACAATTACTTGTTCTACAAATGTTATGTCGCAACTGTTGGAAAGGATTTTTGAAATATAAAAGAAAAGTAAGAGGTACAGTAATGTTGAGGGAGTGTGTCTTTTAAAGGTTAGGATTTTCAATCTTAATTTGAAAAACAAATTTAACATGAATTGGCGTGCATTCTTGCAAAAAATAAAATGAAGTATTCCCTCACTTCACACGAGCACCAAACTTATTCCCCAAAGATATATTTGTATTATCGTTTCAATTTCTGCTAAACGGTTTTAAATACCCCATATTTCTGCTTTCTTTCCTGGAATACAAAAACCAAAACCTTTCCCCCTTCGTATTGACAGCTACGATTGATACAAATTGGTCGCATCTTGATGTCTACACTGTATTTATGAGATAGGATTTTGAGAATTTGTGAGTGATTGTGGGACTTCGATTTAATGCGGATCAATTGTATTCATCTTTTTTAAAGAGTCCGGATAAATGGAAATTATAATATAAGACATATATCTTACTCTGTTTGTTCATACTGGGATCTAGAGTGGTTTCCATTGGCTTGTTTAGGAGTGTCTCAGCCCGTTGAAAATGTCTGTCAGGTTCAGACTGAGCGTCGTGCGCCCCCTTTTGCGACAATGATTTAGGCAGAGTTCCTGGTAGCTGCGTCAGTCTGTTTGCCGTTACCGATGACGAGTGCGTGACAGGAACATGCTTTATAGACGGAACCTGCGGAGAAGAGGATATACTAGGACCTACTGGTGATCTTGTTTGATATGGAGCGACAGGAGGTCCCTGGGAATTCAATTGAGCTGTTGTTGATGCGTAAGAGGGCTCTTGGTGTCCGTTCCCTACCTCGGATCTTGGGTCGTCTTGAATGGTACTTGCTTGAGTTACTGGAGTTTGGAGTAGATAAGAGTCCTTGACTGATGTTGACAGTTTGCCCTGTAATTTCATAGTATCTGAACTCACCAAAGGAGCAATATCTGCTTCCTTATGTCCGTCAGTATTGTCTGTGCTTGGGACATTCATTGAGACGTCTTCATCATTTAGCAGCGTGGTGTTGGGCTGCGATGAAGATGGTTGGGCTTTGTCATCCTTGATGGGGGTATTTTGTAGAGCTTCCGAATTGTTCTGCGGGTCATCGGGTTGATTAGGCTTTTCATTCACAACTGGCTGACGTAACACCATTGGGTCTATGGCTCCACGAGAAGGTTTGACAGGTATTTTCGGTTTTGCGTGAACAGGTCTCAAGGTCTCTGCGGGATCTGATTTCGAGTTAGCTATCGACAAGTTCTCGTTAAACGTAGAAGACTTTTGAAGATCATGGTCTTGCTCTGTTTCTGACTGCTTGACTGCTTCCTTGTCCCCACTGTCATGCTGGCTCTGGAACTGGTCATCATTAACCCATGTAGTGCTATCAGCGCTAACTTTGGAAGGTGGTACGACGGGTTGGGATTCCATTAAGCAACTTTGGCGTTCCTCTGGGATATTGATTTCTTCAGAGCTATGGAACGGCAATCTAGGCTTTGAACAAACCGAAGCAATACTAGCTGATCCTTTTCGAAGAGTTTCGTTTGACACATTGATGTAGTTCTCACCATCCGAATCATCACTGTCGTCGGTGATACCTAGAAGAATGGGGAGGGCATCGTCTTTTCCATTGTGTTCGTCCGGTCTCGAATCCGCAATCATATCACTTCTTTCAGTAACTGCGGATGGGTGGAGCCCGTTGTTTCCCTGTTTGGATTGTTTCATTGGTAGCACAGGGGCACTGGACCCTTTTAGACGTGTGGAGTTAGCTGACTTGCTGGCAACAGGTGACGCAGGTAGACCTGAACGTAAAAAGATAACGCAACTCTAGAATGCTCGGACTGACGTTAACAAGTGGATATATGCCATGTACGGAGTGGAGGGGAATGACTGATAGTAAGACATAGAGAGAGAGAGAGAGAGAGAGAGAGAGAGAGGGAGGGAGAGAGAGGGAGGAAAAAGAGAGAGGATAGAACAGAGAGAGAGAAAGATAGACATAAATAAAGAGAGGTAGAAAGAGAGGCAGAGAGAAAAAGAAATAGAGACAGAAAGAGAGACACAAAGAAAGATAGAGAGAAAAAGAGACAGTGAGAGACAAAGAGAGAGAAAGAGAGACAGCGAGAGACAAAGAGAGAGAAAGAGAGAGGGTGAAAGAAAAGGAATTAAACAGTTGAGAAAGAGACGTTGGAATAGACAAACGAAATATAGAAAAACAAAATGATTAATTAAGGGAAGGAAGAGACGCATGGTGAAAGGGAAAAGGGATGAGACAGATAAACAAAGGGCAAGAGAAAGAGAGAGAGAAAGAGAGAGAGAGAGATAGAGAAAGAAAGAGAGAGAGAGAGAGAGAGAGAGAGAAGGTGGGGTTGTAAAGCATGATGGGCCTGATAAATATATATTTACATATTATTCTTACATTGTTATAAAGCTAGCTCATGCTTGATGACAAATTAAATGTTAATGTATCATTGACGTATACTTTTTTGTGGAGCTATTTGTTGACTAATCTATGTCGCAATTACTTCACTAATATGCCATTGTGGACGTTTTCATTCCACTGCTTAAGACCTGACTACGACCCCATTTCGAAAGAATGGTATTTTATATAAAAACATATACTTCTTAAATCTTGATTACGATGATCTGAATAGACACAAATATTATTAAAATTTAAATTTATATAAATTCCATTAAATGTATTTATAGTTACATAATTATACCAAAATCTGTAATATTATCTAACTGTTTCCAGTGCAAGATTCATGTGTGTCAGTGTCTAAATGGTTGTCATGGAGATAATCAAGGAAGATTGCTGAATTTGCGAAGTAATTCGGTTGCACAAAGCAATTATGTCGGCAGTTGTTGGCTATTGTTGTTGTGCAAAATTGCACGTGTTGCAAACTAGCGACTGTACACAGAGGCGATGAAATCAACCGAAATCTTAAACCCAACGCCTCCCGGAACCAGATGGCTCCTGTATTAAGCCTATGGTAATACATGGATTCAGTAGTCAACGGGTCGAAGGTAGATCTTACCACTCAATAGATATTCCCACTTATCGTCCAGCCCTGCTTGAGACAGCTTTTCCCCCAGGATGGCTCTTTGGTCGACTTCCGGTTCAAGACCATCCCTCCATAGGAGCACCACCTTCAAGGCACTGCCCTTCTGCGCCGGATCCCAAAGATGGTCCAGGATGTCTTCGCCGAATCCTAAAACCCCACCGAGTCGGTAGTACTCGTCTCTGTCAATGTCCTTGGTAAGCCTAATGATGTCAAGGTTAGACAGATTTCGAAGGCTATCAGGCCCGGCCATGATGATTCGGACGACCTGTGTAAGAAATGAAATTAAACGAATTCTGAATTAAGTCCAAATGGATCATTGTTGTATTCAAGTCTCATGTGGGTTCTCTCATAACAATAAACATAGTCAAGGGCAACCTAAACCAACACCAACGACAACAACAATTAGTAACAATAATAATACCAATTACAATGATTCAGAGTCAAGGGCAACCTAAACCAACACCAACGACAACAACAATTAGTAACAATAATAATACCAATTACAATGATTCAGAGTCAAGGGCAACCTAAACCAACAACAACGACAACAACAATTAGTAACAATAATAATACCAATTACAATGATTCATAGTCAAGGGTAACCTAAACCAACAACAACGACAACAACAATTAGTAACAATAATAACACCAATTACAATGATTCATAGTCAAGGGCAACTTAAACCAACAACAACGACATCAACAATTGATAATGATTAATATAGTAACAATAATAACAATTAAAATATTACTACTACTAATAATAACCATATTGACAAGAATAAGAACAACATGAACAACAACAAGGATAACTTTTTTTTATATAATGGTAATGCTTCCTGGGAGAAATTTCAATAGTTTGAACATATACGTTCAAACTATTGAAATTTCTCCCAGGAAGCATTACATTTATAAAAAAAAAGTTATTGTCCTATGGCGGACTAATGAATATTAATAAGTCAGAATGAATCAGGAGAGCTTGGGTATTTGCCTCTAGTTCATCGTGACTGTGCCATGGACCAGTGATGGCCTGGTGGTAGAGTCGCTGCCTGGCAAGCAGTAGATGACAGGTTCAAATACCGCTGGTTCCAAGATCTGTTCTGACTTGTTTTTCAATTACAGATCGATCAATCGATCTTATTTACTAGGTGTAAGCCACAAATATGTTCAAACTAACAAGGAGAACGATAACAAGAAAGTCAGAACAACAAAATCAGCAGCAAAAACATAAACGTAGCATATTTGTAACGAAGGGTAGATACAACTTTGTTATTTAGTTTCCGGAAAGTCAACAATATGATGAGTCATTAATGAAAAATGGGACCATGGCTAGATGCAGTAAAGTAGCTTATCTAGGCATGTGCCCCTCCCTCCTCATATCGAGGCACCCAGACTAGTAGCGCTTTGAGGAGGGGCGGGGTGAGGATGGGGCAGGAAGCAAACCTGTAGTAAATATGATACTACCCACTTTGTTATCATCTTTGACCCGCCCACAATCATGACACGTACAAGCACACCCCCTCCCCCTCCAATTGCTCGATCCACGCTCCGCTACTAGTTATACATGTTTGAACAAACATTGGTCCAAATTCTTTTGTTTACAAATAGTTCTGTCATCTTTATTTGCCCTCCCTTTCACGAATCATACACAGAGCCCGATGCTCGCAAATATACCCATTGTATATGAAAGTATTGTCTCCGATTTAGCGTTGAGTACGTGTTATTTACTTGGCAGATTTGACGCGCGGTACGGGATTCGTTCAGGCATTAGAATCATGGAATAATAACTCAATGAATATTGTTTAGACTAGATACGAAAATGTACACAAACGCCCACGCTTATCCAAACACCGCACACACACATACCCTCCTTTATCATACAAAGTTCTATTCAATCCATGTTAAAATAATTTACCCTAATAAATGTCTTTACAATACATATGCCTCTTTTTTTGTCAAACTCGAAACCCCAGACAAAGATTCTATTCAATTTCACAAATCTAGGATAACCAAAAGATGGGGATTTCCCTTTGGAGAACCATGTACGTATTTAGTGGTAAAAAAAAAAAAGCCAAATCAGATATATAAAACCTTGACCTTTGTGGTCTCGTTCTAGCGCTATATAAACAAAACCGAAAACATGCGTATGGTATTCACACCGTTTGAATACACACCAGGAAGCATAAAGCAAACCCTTTTTTGAATTTAAGCAATGTGCAAATACAAAGGAGTCTGAGTACACAGAAAGAGATATTTCAAAGAGATAGAAAGGAATTAATAGTAGTAGTAATAGAGTAGCATCGTCGGTAATAATACTGTTCTCCCCGAGGGCCCTGTTAATTCGTAATATTGCCCCGACTTTAGCTGAGCTACAATAAAGAGACGTTCAAGCAATCAAGGATTTTTTCCGACCGGGTACCAATTTATTTCACCAGGGTGGATTTTGGCAAATGTAGATTAATGACTTGCCAAGAGATATCGGTACCACGAAAATCTTCTCAAACAAAAGCAACACGAGTAAGGGGCGATATTTCAAAGCTTTCACGATATAGACGTGACGTCATACATTGTTTGATATTCACACCACACTAAACACACCGAGCTAGCCTGCTCCAGCCCGTTGCTTCAGTGATTTCGAGGTGAACCTTAAAGCCCCACTGTCCTACTTGTAGCTACTTGCTCCCTCTATATAGAAAACTTCCCCAATCGGTGCCTGTTGGTTCCCCATGATCCTCTTTTTCTTATGTTAGTTGAGAGCTGAGTTAATGAAATAGCCATATGTCATTGACCTCGCTGTGTGGTCTAATCCCTTCTGGCCCAGTAGTATTAACGGTCTTTAAGTGCTAGCTCTGTCATTTTAGGAACCAGAAGACGCGACGACGAGCGAATATGACGTTAGCACTTTGGAGCTCAGGCTCAATGGAAATCATATTGAGATGACGTCATTGTGACGTTTGCGCATTTCAAAAGGTGAAGTACAAGGCCATCAACAAATGCCTTTAATACTTTGTAAAACAAATAATAGAAATAATATAGTAAAAAGTATTAATGATCGATATGGGTTCAATAAGCAAAGGTAAGGGATCGAAAAGAGACTATAGTACTACTTCTCACACTTGAGATCGAAAAGGCATAATGATATTTAGAGCTCTTTAATGCATATCATAACGAATCGTCCTTACAACAGAATATCTACAGAAACAGGACAATAAGTCAGTTTACCGCAATCAGGTTATTAATCATTCTTGACAATATGATTTTTTTAAATACATTGGACAATAAAGGAAAAACTGACATATATTAATTTTCGACATTCATTTATGCATTTTATTATTGCATTTCTCTCTTTGTTAGGATCTTGTTTTATTATTGTCTACTCTTTGTTTGTACTCCTGAAATATGACCGGTACTTTGTTACTTTCAACAATATTTATATTTTACGCTTGTTTGTTATGGTATATTTGTTTGTTCCTGTAGTTCTTTTATACTTCTTGGCTTTGAAACAAGCTTTTAGCTGACAAGATTAATCCAAGCCATGGTTTAGTGAATTAATTACCGTTTTGTCTGCTTATTTATCTCTCTCTAAAAAAAAGTTGCATTCCTGCAAAATGCTAAAATCACTGATCATAACTAATTACAGATACATGTACATTCAAGAGGGCAATAACCTCATTATTAAAAGATTCACTTAACAATACCCCCCCCCTCCCATTCAGCTTTACAGTTTATGTTTCATTCGTGTCATGTTCAGGTCAGGTCAGGTTAGGTCAATGTTCGCGTATGATACTAACGTTTTGAAACATGTTCACTGTGTCACACTGAAACAAAAAGATTTTGAATTGCTAATGTTTCTTTGTGGACAGTATATATAGATTAATGTCATCAGTGCCTCATATTAAAAGCATATTGTACTTTCTGTTCGCTAACAATATTCATACATCTCATAGTTTGTTCGCAATATCCGTTCGTTTTCGAGTTTACTTTGTTTTAATGACATACTGTACAGCTTCCTGGTTTAGCGAAACATCGTATTAACTTCCTCTGGTGTGAATGTCATATTATTATCTCATTCGTCCTATGATTAAGACTACATGATTCAAGGTCCACGGTAAATATGATCGTGTTTTGATTCTATTTATAGGAGAATAATGAATTGTACAGTTTGATGCACCCCGTGTCGGAATGTTATTCCATTTATAACAGGTAGACAAATGGGTACTAGTAAAATTCCACAGGGGACACACTGATAACGATTTAGTGCAGGAGGTGTGTGTGTCTCTCTCTCTCTTTTATTTTTTCTTTATCTCTTTGTCTCTTTATTTCCCTTTTTTTCCCACAAAAGGTTTGCGCCAGACGAGGCGCATAAAGGACTAAATGATAATGATTTAGCACATTTTTTTTTTCGTCTATCTTTTACCCGCACACTTCCCTTCCCTCTTTCTCTCTCTCTCTCTCTCTCTCTCTCTCTCCTTCTCTCCCACTTTTGCTCTCTCGTTCTCGTTTTCTTTATCTCTTTCTTTCCTTAGATATCCGTTCTTATATACCAATGTGGAGATTGCCATATTATTACATGAATACAAGCCGCAAAGCGAGCTCAATTATGATGTTGTGCTATTTGTTTTGATCTGTATCTCACCCACCCCCCCCCCTTTTTTTTTTTTTTTATATCTCTAGGTCCCTCTTTCTCAAAACAAACAAAAGGCTGGGCGTTTATGAAAGCAGGGAACTTAAGTAAATACTATGTGAATTGAAGCCCATTATTGGGATTTACGAAACCCTCAACAATGTAAAAGTGGTGTGTGTGTGGGGGGGGGGGTGGGGAAAAAACAAACAATCACCCGTGGCTTATCTTGCATCCCTAGTTTTAGGTGAGCCTTGTTATTTAGTAATTTGAAATGGCAAAGTTTACTTGGAATGCTATTATTTTTTAGATAGCTAACTTTCACTATATTTGGCATTTATCAACATCTTGTTTTTCTTCTTCTTGCAATTACTATTAAAGTCTTTGATGTTAGTGAGTTTCTAAGTTTTAAATTTCTCTTCGAGATAAATGTATGCACCTTACGCGCCATGTGCATGCGAAATGGTGGAGTGGACACGTGAGCACATATATAGCAGGTATCGTGAGACAAGAAGTTAGTAGGCTGTTAACAAAATTAGGGAAAATTGTCATATGAAACAAGCTCCCGTAAAAGCTTGCATGCATTGAAACACCTTAAACGATGAAGCATTGCATGAATCAGACGTTACCATTCAAAAGGGATT